CCGCCACGAACGCCGCGCCGGCCGCGGACGCCGCCGCGAACATCGCGAGCGCCGCGGCCGCGCCCAGGCGGGTCACGAGTGACAGGAATAGGAAGTTCACGGCGGCGCCGGTGAGGAAGAGCAGGGCGGTCGCAAAGCTGCTGGCCGGCGACTTGGCGGACTGGGGGCCGAGGGCGCGAGTTGACGGATTGGTGGTTGGTTGGTAGGTTGGGTCGTTGATGGGTCGTGTCAGGGTCGTAGGTGTGTAAGATTGGTTTTTGTGTTGTGATGCAGGGATGTGGGGTGCAGGCGGAGGGTGTTGCCTCGACCCATGCGGCTCACACATGCAGGGCAAGGGAGTGAATCAGAAACAACTTTACATCGATCCAAGCAGCCTGGCAGCCGCAGGTCCCTGTGAGACGCTTTGCGTCAATTGAGGTGTGGGCCCTTGTATGAACCAAAGGCCAGCAAAAACGGCACAGACATTCAAGAACAGATCCTGCTGCTGAAATCACCCTTACTCGTTTGAAATTGCGTGACTCACCATGCTGAAGAGCTCCGACACCACCACCCAGTACAGCCCCGCCCACGACAGGCTGAACGCGAATATGAAGAGGCACGCCCCGGCCAGGAAGCCCCCCGCGCTGCCCGCCCCCGCGCCGCCCGCCGCCGCCAGCAGCCCCGCGGCCGCGGCGGCGCCGCCGCCGATGAGCAGCGGGCGGCGGCCGAGGCGGTCGACGAGCAGCAGCGCGGCGGCGGCGGCGGCAGCTTTTGTTACCGCGATGAGCGCGGGCAGCAGGGTCGCGCGGGCGGGGGGCACGCCTAGCTTTGTCTCGAGGATTACGGGGCAGTAGTTGATGATGGCGGTGCTCGCGCTTGCCTGCGGATTGTTTGCGGCCGCGGATCTTGTACCGCCGGGCCGCGCCATTCGGGCAGGTTGGGCGGCAGGCAAGCGGGCAGGTTTGCTGTGCAGAAGTCAACGCCAGGGGCGCCCTCTCACACGGCGGGTTACTAGTTGCATCAGCACAGCAGGGGAGGCATGCGGCAAACTGCTGGAGCTCCTTCTCCACAACAAGGCGCGATTGCAGTTGCCCGTGCAGACGCGAGGCGGATCCCGGTCAAACGCCGCCGCACCTGGTCAAACACGGCGAGGCCCGCCGCCAGCGCGAACGCGCGCCGCTCCGGACCGCGCGCAACGGCGGCCACGTCTATTAGCATGCACCACAGCGTGTGGGCCAGCGTCCGCTCCCGCCCCGGCTCGCCGCCGCCGGCTCCACCGCACGACCCCGCATCATCCTCCCCTCCCCGCGCGCTGCTCCAGCCGCCGCCACCCGCTGTACCATTGACGATGCCGGCTGCCGCGGTGGCCGCAATCAATGTCGGCGGCTCGACCACCCTAGGTGGCGCCGCCCGCGCACCGCCTTGCTGCGATCCCGCAGGGGCGACGCCGCCGCCGCCTCCGCCTTCCCATCCGCTGTTGCCACCGCCGCCAGGCAGCAGCCGCGCGCGGCCGGCCTCCTCCTCCCCGTCCTCCTCCACCCCCGCTGCCACCTCACCGCCGCCGCCGCCGCCAGCCCCTTCACCGCCCAAGCCCTGCGCCTGCGCCGGCGCCGCTCTCCCCTTGGGACCCCGCGGCTGCCGCCCCGCCCCCAGCAGCTGCCGCCGCCGGTCCAGCACCGCCGCCCGGTCGCGCTCCACTGAGCTCCACAGCAGCAGCAACTCGTCCTCAGCAGCCACCACCGCCGCCGCTGCAGCTGCTGCCGCCTCGTCGCCAGCGCCCCGCCCGGATCCTGGCTGTCGCTCAGTCGGGTTTGAGAGCGCGGCGTGCGCGAAAAGCATTAGGAGAAGGCGACGCGACGGCCCCCGCCGCTCCGCGGGCACAGCGACCGGGGCGCAGGCGTGGGGCCCCCCAGCTGGGCGACCGCGTGGAGGCTGCTTCGGCCCCAGGCGCCCGCATGGCACGGCCGTGCCCCGCTGCGTGTGCAAACTGAGAACCTGTCCGCATACCTGCAGAGCGATCGCCTGCGGCAGCCCTCGCTCCCGCAACCCTCGCCGACCCCATCGCACGTATCATCCCCCCGCCCTCGCTGCCCCCCGTCCCTGTTTATCAGTCGCCGTGCGCACCTGGCCCCCGGCGCCGCCGCCGCCTGTGGCTGTGATCGAGTGCAGCACCCTCAGTGCGCCGTCCAAGTCATCCCGCATGACTAACCACCTGGCGCGGTCGGCAGGGCAGTTGACGGTTTAGCATGTATACAAGACAAGCTCAGCCGCGAGCTGGGCCAGCGGGCGCGTGAAAAGAAAATAGCCGTAAGTGCAGCCCACATAATTGGACACTGTCCCGCGCCATTGCAGCAGGGTTACAACCTGGCAGTCACGCCAGGCGGGGGCAGCACATTGTGTGGTGCGCCCCTCACCTCGGGCTCTCCGGCAGCAGCGCCACCGCCGCCGCCATGAGGGCGCCCGGAACAGCAGGCAGCCCCACCATCCAGCGCCACGCGCCGCCGCCGCCGCCGCCGGCAGCGCTGCGGCCAGCGGCGCCGCCGCCGCCTGCCAGTGCGGCGTCGACCAGCACAGCCGCCAGCATCCCGCCAGTCAGCATGACCTGCGGGTTGGATTCGATTCGAATTTGTTAGCGCCCGACTTCCATTCGGATTGCCGCACAGCGCGCGTTGCATTCACCGGGTCACTGGCAGCAGCCAGGGGTCCTGGGGTTGGGGTGGTCGGCCAGAGAGAACTCACACATCAAAGCGCTGCGAGCCGATGAGGTGTGCATCCAGTACTCGCGCTGTGATGCCCCCCCATAAAGAAACCAGAGCGAAACCGACGCCGCCGTCGCACCTCGTAGACTTGCACGACCGCCCCCCTGCTGCGCGCGGGCGCCACCTCAGCAAGGTACGCAGGTACCGCCGTGGCCGACGCCCCGATGCCCAGCCCGATGACGAGGCGCCCGGCCACCAGGGCGCTAGGTTGAAGGGAGGGCGAGGGCGACGAGGTGGCCGAGGGGAAAGCAAGGCGGAGTTGCTGCGTGAGTGATGTGCTGTCGCAGCCCTGAGGCCTGCTCGTTTGGGCGATCCGACGATGCAATACGCGGGACCCCCGCCCTGCGGCTCTCGTAAGCCGATTCGTGGGCGCCGGCAGCGACACGCTGTGTGCACGGCGGAAGCAGCGGGGCAGGGATAAGCACCAATGAAGCGCCTGCAAGGCGGCCCAACGCAAGGTTTGAACACACCCCTCGGTCGCCCCGCACCCTGGTCCCCGCGCCGCGGCCATCAGGATCGGGCCGCCCGCAAAGAACGCCGCCTGGGCGGCGATCGCGACGCGGCGGCCGTGGCGCAGCATCAGGGCACCCCCAAGGAACGTCCCAAAGAACGCGCCTGCGGGCGGCGACGGGGGAGCAAATTGGAGGTGAGCATACACTAGGTCAGGGCGACAGCTGCGGCGTCGGAGCTGGTCGGCTCCGTGCGTTGAGGGCGGTGCGGACGGCGCTTCCTGCGGGCCCCGCACCCAGCTTGGCGGCGCCGACAATGGCCTCCACCGCCGCGTCCCCCTGCAGCTGGAACTCCTCCCGTATGCCATGCATGGCGCCGCCGATGAGCCCAAGGTCTGCATGGGGGTGGGGGTTCGGCCGCATGGGGTGGACGACGGGCGCATGGGGTGGGGGCACGCCCGCATGGGGTGCGGCGGCGCCCGCATGGGGCCGGGGCGAGTGCGCATGTTTCGGGCGTGCGACCGCATGGCAGTTGCAAAGGCAGGACCGGCGAGCGCGGGGCACAGGGGGTTGCGCATGAGGGTCCTGGAGGAGCACACGGTGGGCCTCCAAGGGGGAAAGGGGGTGAGGCGGCCATGTGCGTGGTCCGCCCGGGGGCGCGGCACCTGCGGATGTCAACAATGGGCGCTGGGCTGCCGCTGCTTGCACGGCGCCGCGCTCTCGCCCGGCGCCGGCTGCCCCTGGCTTTGGTGAGGGTCAGGGCGGGCTCACCATATCCGAAAAGGAATCCGGCAATGCTGGCAAGGGCGGCGATGCGCGCCAACATCTTGGGGACAACCGGCGTGCGGTCGCAGCAGCCCTGCCGGCGCCGCACCCGCGCCGACCGCCGCGCCCGGCGTCGTTGTGCCTGCCGTTATCGGCTAGCAAGTGTATGCAGCATGCTGCTGAATGGGATGCAGCGCCGATGGGCGCCGCGCTGGCGCTGCGGCCGCGGTCAAGGGGCGGCGCAGTGGCGTGCAGCGCCGCTGAATGGCTTGCTTGCAGCGATCGCACGCGCGTGCACGGCGGAGAGGAATACTGCGCCCTCCGCTCCAGCAGCTGAGACAGACGTTATTCGTATATAATCAGATCAACACCCCGATAACCCTCATTGCACCACAAACGGCGTTTTCCACGCGTGCAAGCTGCTTGATGCGTGCCGAACCAGCAGGAGAATATTGCCACAAATACGGATTGACTCAAACAAACAAATTGATTTGATTCCTGCATGGGTCACACGGCACCCCTGACAGCATGATCTGTTGGGCACTTGTGGGCACCAGGGCGGCCGTCCTGGTGACGACGCCCTCTCCACAGCCTGTGCACCTGTTCATAGGTTTACGGCCCCAGCAGCGTCTTTGCGCCTTCTTGACCCACAAAATCCTTGCCTGACACTGCCGCACCGCTGAACAGTGAAGACCGTCAGGCTCTTTCTGATGTGCGAGGCAGGTGCGGTGGTGGCCCGCGCGCGCACCTGCTGGTTCACGATCAATCGTGAGAGGCATCGTGTCGATACCTGACAAGCATTGCGGTAAGAACCAACAATCGCAAAGCTGAGACTGGCGCAGCATGAAATTTGACGGGCTGGATGCCTTGTGAAATTGGGGTATGCGCCGCGACGACTGTCAAAGCGCATGGGTGCACGACACTGTGCACTCATGACGTCATTATTCCACATGTACGATTTACCACTACCAACCAGCCGCAAGGGTTATCACTTGCCTGACTTCTGTTCGGATCAATACGATGTGCTGGGTCATGTTGGAGGGAATTTACGGGCTGCGAGCCACCTGGCTAGCCCGAATTGCAAAGGTCACCCTTGACAACCGGTGATTGTGTTGGGGCCGCCAGCGTGACCCTAGGGACGGCTGCACGGCAGGCAGGCGGACCTGAAGCAAAACAATTTCTAGAAGAGCGACAGCCGGCCGGGAACGGGCGGTCGCCCTGACCCGTGCGCACGTCCTTACAGCGTACTGGGTGCCAGTGCCCGGTCTACTCTACTCTACCCGGCCGGGCATTGCTCTGGTTGAGGGCTGGTTCTGAATTGCAACTACAATGGCCGCGCTCTTGGCGAACCACGTGCAAATCCTGCTCCTATGCCAGGTCAAAACGATTTCAACCGTCAACTTGGTTTGGTATGTGCGCGTCTCAAATTGTCACTGCCGCTGGTCTGGGTCTGAAGCATGAGCACCAGCGATATGAGGGCCGTCTTTAGGTCATGACCTCAGGAATAACGGCGGTGTTGGCAAAACGATCAGCCGTCAACCTGCTCGCGCGTTTCCCGAGGTTGGGCCGCCGCAAGCGCGGCGGCCGAGGCGCGGCGGCCGCGCTGGCGCTGCCGGCTATGGCTGCCGGGTGCCGCCGCAGGATGGGCAGCGCACGCAAGGGGGCAGGAGGTGGGCGGAGTCCACACTCATGATGTGAGCAGGCGTGGCATACGACGCAGGAGGGGCCTCGGCCGCCGCCAAGGCGCTTGCGTGGACTCTCGGGTATGCGTCAAGTTGTGTTACCTGCGCCAATCAAACAGATTATCTATGCAGCATCTCAGGCATATGCTCGACGCTCCATAACTGGTGGTGTGGGGCACGAGCCACTCCTACGGGCATTGGCCGAGGCCGCGCCCCCGCCGGTTGGAGCGGGGCAGCCCGTCACACTCATCGGCATCGCACCCTTGGAGGAGCACACCCCCAAGGTGGCGTCAACAAGGACAGCTGGCACCTGAGCATGGATCAGGGCGAACGAGGATAACTGGCGCAGCGTGGCACCCAAGCCTGTTTGGGCCCAGCTGGTACATGGCAAGTGCAGTCCATCCAGTCCTCGCTAGAGTCCAATGCAAGGTTCAGGGTCGTGAAGGTGAAAGGCAGCTGTCGCAGGGGCATCAAAACTCACAACGTTGGTGAAATTACAAACTCACTTTTTGACAGTAAACCCGTCCAAAGTGGGTATCGGTATCGTCGCAGCGAGTCGCTAAACCTCCCTCGTGCGGTAGCCGAGCGGGCTTTGCTGTGGCATCGAACTGCAATACAACGATATAAACGGTATTTTAATATTTCATGCGTGTGTGACCTACGCCAACGAAGCCTGCAGGCGCTCACCAGCACAGCGGCAGTACGCTGCACCCATTTCTGATCATCTAAGCCATCACAACCCCTGACGCCATGGCGCGCCGCAGCGCCAGCGTCGCGCTTCTGTGCGCCGCTCTGTTTGTTCTTGCCGCGCTGGCTGACGCCGATCGCGTGAATGGTGAGTGCGGGAAATGTCGTCCTTTGGGGCTTCGTACCTTGGAGCGACAGTCCTAGGGACGAAGCACACGTCAGACAGAAGGCCTGCCAGGCCCCTCACCACCACCGCCCCCCCTTGCTTCCCCCTTGGTGCCCCCTCGCTCACTTGGCTTGCTGAATCCGGTCCCCTCGCTGCCCCTCACTTTCCCCCCTCCGCTCCCACACACACCCTTTCCCCCTCCATCTCCAATGCATCAATCGCCCCCTGACCTTCCCCCTCTCCGTTTGCAGGCCCTCTCCGCCCGCGTTCTCGCGACGAGGGCACCCGCATCACCCAGACCCAGCTCAACAAGCAGGTCGGCGTCAACGGCGCCTTCAGCCGCGACACCGAATTCAACTTCAACAACCGCCAAGAGCAGCGCATCGACCGCCGCCTGCTGGACGCCCGCACCCGCCCCGCGGTCGGCGTCACCCGCCCCGGCCGTGGCGACGACGGCACCCGCATCACCCAGACCCAGCTCAACAAGCAGATCGGCGTCAACGGCGCCTTCAACCGCGACACCGAATTCAACTTCAACAACCGCCAAGAGCAGCGCATCGACCGCCGCCTGCTGGACGCCCGCAGCCGCCCTGCGGTTGGCGTCAACCGCCCCGGCCGTGGCGACGAGGGCACCCGCATCACCCAGACCCAGCTCAACAAGCAGATCGGCATCAACGGCGCCTTCAACCGCGACACCGAATTCAACTTCAACAACCGCCAAGAGCAGCGCATCGACCGCCGCCTGCTGGACGCCCGCATCCGCCCCGCTGTCGGCGTCACCCGCCACGGCCGCGGCGATGACAGCACCCGCATCACCCAGACCCAGGTCAACAAGCAGATCGGCGTCAACGGCGCCTTCAACCGCGACACCGAATTCAACTTCAACAACCGCCAAGAGCAGCGCATCGACCGCCGCCTGCTGGACGCCCGCATCCGCCCCGCTGTCGGCGTCACCCGCCACGGCCGCGGCGACGACGGCATCCGCATCACCCAGACCCAGGTCAGCAAGCAGATCGGCATCAACGGCGCCTTCAACCGCGACACTGAGTCCAACTTCAACAGCAACCAGGACCAGCGCATTGGTCGCCACCTGCTGGGTGGGTGGAGGTTTGGGACTTCTAAGGCCAAAATATCCTTGCGCATTCTGGCTGTTACGGCCGTTATGCTGCTTGTTCAGGGGGCCAACTGTTGAGGACAGCTTAGAGCTGCCTTGTGATGTTTGCTACTGGCAACCCTGCATTGTCTGCAACTCACTCGCTCTCAGGCCTGGTGATGTTTTGCTGCAATCTGGGGGTACCTTAGATATGATATCTACCGTGATTCCACCTGACAGGGTTGCCAACTTGACTCGAGCTGTGCATATGTCTTTACCGCGCTCACAACCCCCTACAATAACTACCTTGCAATCCGCAATAACTCCCCTGCAAATGCAGATGTCGAGGCTTAAAAAGCACCAATACTGCACCAAGGTCTGCTGCTACAAAAGCCTGCCCGCGAACCAGCTAGCAGTTGCATGCCAAGAACCGGGCACCATCGCCGCAGCAACCGGTTCCTGGGCTTCAGCTGCCCGGCACGCACTTTTTGGTTGCATGCCGAGCTGCACGTCTCCGCCTGATGGCTTAAAAACGAAATGGTTCACCCGCGTCCGTCTGCACTTGCTGGCTCGGGTGCGCTGCCCTTGGCCCTGGACGGTGCGGCAGGCGCGTTGTCCCTGGGGCTGTTAACGCATCTGGGGCTGTTGATGCGAGGCTGTGCATGGCAAAACACCCTGTTGCACATGCTTGATTGGCCATTCTTCCTGCCAGCTGGGGCTCCTCACAGCCGAAGCAGGATTTTCTCCTGGGCTCGCTGCGCTGCGCACGCCGCACACCGTGTTGAATTGTTTGCCAGTGCCAAGTGTGCCCAGGGAATAACCCACCTGTAATCTGTCCCTTGAATATTTCTGTGGAATATGATCTCGTGTCCCTGCATGCTGGGCTATCAATATTTGTGACCATCAACAGTTGCAAACAAATTCAACAAGTCAGCAACCAAGCCACCTATTTGAGACTATTATAACAATCATCACATACCATAACAATATGCATACGTAAAGAGCAACATTTAGACAAAAGGGGAGCAACATATATAATAAAGGGGAGCAATACAAAGGCATCAGCGGTCAGCTGCAGAAAATCTGCAATGGACAAAAGAGAGTTCCCTTTAGTTTGTGGGAACCTTGGCTGTATGATGCTGCTGCTGCTGCTGCTGCTGCTGCTGCTGCTGCTGCTGCTGCTGCTGAGTGTGTACCACCTCAGCCTGCGCTTCCTTCTTGCGCCTTACCATGCCCTTGAAGACCCCTGCAGCCCCCCACCACACCACCACGCCGCCTCGATGTACCTGCCCTTGCTGTCTTGGGGGTGATTTTAGTGAGCAGACATGTGTCAAATCACACGCGCGCATGCAATGATGAGCGTGTAGCAAGGGCGTTGTTCATCAAACTAAGAAATCATATCTATCCCTTTGGCTGTCTACTTAGAAAACTTCACAAACACGGCACGGTGGTGCAGGCCCAGGCCAGCTGTTTCTGCCCCTGGTTGCTTTGAAGGGTCGTGCTGCCGTCAGCATGATATTGCAGTTGCAAGTCAATAACGCGGCGTGCAATGTGCATGCATAAATACATGCATGCTGTGCTGCGGCCACCAACACAGTGCGCGCTGACTTCATCCTCGGCCGAGGCCACCGCACCCTTGTTCACTTTTTCCACGTTGAATCAGACCACGTCGAGGGGCAAAGTACGCCATACTATACTGATCTTGAATGTATATTGATTGAATTCTTGTATCAAGAAATCGAAATGAGATGCTGAGTCAGCCCTTTCAGCACCCGGCCGGGGTCACCCTCGAGGTTTAGCGAAGCCGCGACGGCACTCGAGAATGACACAATGAAAGTTGCTTCGATGTATTAATTCTGAGGAAGTCAACTCGAGTTTTTCGATTGCATCAGGTGCACAGCTGAGTCCTCTGCTTTCGCGGCCAACAACTCAGGCCAACCACCCCAACCACGCAACTCCTGAACCCCGTATCAGACAGCGGCACCGGGCCCAAGCAACCATGTCGCACCGCGGGTCTGCCCAGATCCTGCTCCTCTCCATTGTCTTGGCGGTGCTGATAGCCACGGCAACCAGCGCGCGCATATCTGGTGAGTCTACCAGGTGTCAGCGGCGCCGCCGGCGGCGCGCCCCCCTGCCCCTCCATGTACCCTACCCTCCGCCTCGCCGGCGCTCCACGCCCACCGCACCCCTGATCAGTCTGCAAAAACAAAGTATCTGTTTGATGGTGCATAGTGCAGCCCGCAGCCCCCGCGGGCTATTACTGGCAACCCAAGCCTATCTGAAAGCAGCCGAGCTCCATCCCTCGTGATGGGCACCCCTCGGCCCTGCTGCTGACCTCGGAACCTCGCCCTCGGCCCCCTTTGTTCCCCTCGTGCGCCCAGGCCCCAGCGACGGCAACACCATCACCAACACAGAGGCGAGCAGCCAGCTCGGCACCGTCGGAAACAACAACGTCGGCGGCCGCATCTCCCTCAACAACCAGCAAGCCCAGGGCACCTCGGTCCGCGGCCGCGGCAACACCGTCGAGCAGTCGCTCTCAGACACCCAGCGCGGCAGCATCGGCGACAACACCCGCAACGCCCGCGTTGGCATCGACACCCGGCAGTCCCAGAACACGGACGTTGTGGGCACCGGCAACGTGGCCAGGCAGTCGGCCTCAACCACCACCACCGCCCGCGTCGACGGCTGAACAAACACGCAGCGCGGGGCGGCGCGCGCGTCAGCGCGGGGCCGCGGCCTGACGGCCGCCGGCGGCCGAGCGCGGCGGCATGCGTTGGCGGCCGGTTGGTGCGGGATGCGCGCGCCGCAGATGGACATGCGGCGCGGGGGACGGGGGTGGCGGGGTGGTGTAGAGGCACAGCTGTTGACGCGCGGCTTTCTTGACCTGCCACATGCTGCTGCTTGCGTAAGGCAAGAAATGATTCGACTCTTGCCTGGCATGATCGATCTGGTTGTGTGCGCCTAACACGCTTGCCCCTGCTGCTCGGCTTGCCCCTGTTGGTGCGGCGCCTGCTTCCCGGGCTTTTGCCGCGGTGCTGTCAGCTTGCTGCTGCATTTTTGAGCCCAGGGCTGATGAATCTAGGGCTGAGAGTTGAGTTGATGCGTCTCGCAAACTACAGTTGGTTCAGCCGCTGTAATCGTGCCCTGAACAGCTGCGCGTGGGGACTGTGTCACAGCCAAAATGACAGCTGGGTGGTAGATTGATACAAAGCGTGCGTTTGCAAGGCTGCCAAACCCACATGACTCAGAATTACCGCAGCGTAAACAGCCGAATCATCCTATGTTTTCCATACCGCAGTATGAATGTGGGCTGTTGGCACCGGCCAACAATGCCCCTGGACGGATAATGTTTGGGCCCCTGCCGGCTTGTAGCATTGTTGAGGGCGGGCCTGGTGCGACCGCGCGCACATCAATTGCCGTGCGTTTGCTAGGTCAAGTCATATGGAATCTGGTGTGCAATTCAGGGGCACTGGTGCTGCTGGTTGTGCTGCATGCATACCTGGCACCTCGCAACAGTGAGAGTGTCATGTTGGCGTCACTAGCTGCAGTGACAAAGCATTAGATCGTGCACCAGGGCTATGGACGTGGCCACACATTTTTGTAGCTTCTTACTATCATTGATTCGCATCGAGGTTGGTTAATAAACAGTAATTGTTTGAGTTTGTGTTCTTTTTTGCAGCATGATCGTCGTAATGTTGGTTCGCACGACGCAAAAAATATCAGGACTATGGAAACTGGGCAGCGGATTCCATCGCTGGTGCCGGCAAAACCGATGCCGGCAAGGCGCTCCAACTCTTCTGCTGCGACCGTCTGCGCCCTCACCGCCCCAGCCGCCGTAGCAGGTCCCGTCGCTTGCTTCGTGGCGTGCGCCGCCGCCCGAGCTTGGCTGGTGCCGGACGGCTCGGCTTGTTGCACGCTGCTTCTGTTTCATTCAATTTCCTTTGCTGCCGAATCCTGCCGATGATCATCCGATCCCGTGGCCTCCTCCCCCCTCTCACACACACGCCCTGCCTGCACTCACGCAGGTTGTCTTTTAAGCTGCAAGGCCGCCCGGTAACCCTTGCGCGGCCGCGGGTCTGGCGCCCGGCAGCTCCAGGTGGGCGTTGGCGCCTCGGCTGATCTCCCCTTCTATGCAGGCGTCTGCCCCGTGTGACCACAGCAGCTGCGGGGGGGCGATGCGTTTGGGGTTGGGTGGGTGTGAGTGTGTTGGTGGGAGGGGGTGGGGTGCGGAGGTGGGTAGAGGGGCGCCCATCTCAGACCCCAAATGCATACAGACTAGGGCTTTTGCGCATGCCTGCTTTCAACGGCGCAAGGTAGCCACCTGAATATCAGTCACACAACAATGATGCCTCAAAGCCCACCCCCATGAGCCTGATTGGCTCCAGAAGCGGGCGACTGCGGGACGCTGTAACTATTATCATCCTGATCCTCATCCTACTACCGCTGCGCGGCGGCTGCTGTGGCCCCCCCCCTGCTGCACCGCAGTTTGACGCGTAATTCCGCGGCGGCCACCGCCTTGCCTGCCCAAGGCAACCCAAGCTAGCGGCGTACAAAGCAGCACCCCCTGTGGAAACACCGCACGACCTGCCCAGCGGACGCGAGCGCTTCGCGGCCCGGGCGCTGCTGGGCTGGCCAACACTGGCCGGCTGAAAGCTGTGGGTTGCAACTCGTTCGGCAGTTCCTGCCGTTGCCAGCAGTCGGCGAGGTGCCGGCGCCCCTGCAAATCACACTACCATCCATTCTTGGCTATCCTGCTGACTTGTAAACCTCTACAAGCTAGCAAGCTCCCGCGTTAGGGGCAATCACATGGTGCGCGGCGGAGTTGGCAGGAGATGCACACGCCTGCTGCGGGCTGAATGCAGTTGCAGTGGCGGCGGCAGCAGCAGCAACAGCATGGATTGCAGTGAAGCTATGGCATGAATGATATAGCTGTACATTAGCACATGATGATTTTTTTCGACATCATCAGCAGCAGTAGCTATCAACAATAACAGCAGCAGCGGGTTTCCGGACTTGTTCCCAGGAGACTCATCTGACACCAACTGCTGGCCCAACTTCAGCCCGTGCTGGTTCAGTGACACGCAGTTAATCAAACATGTGCACAGGTTGGGACCAGTTAGGGCCTTGCGACTGTAATGATATCGGACCCTGAAGCAAGCATGTGATTGTTACACTGCAGCTCATGAGCGCAGGCCTTGCTGCTCAGGCCCAGCTACAACCAAGCCTGAGAAATTCGTCTGCGCGGCAATCCCAACCCAACTGCAACCCGCGCGTTTTGTTTGGCACCAGAATCCTTGGATTCTCAACTTGCCCCAAACCAGCAATGCATTTCATCAATCAAACTGAAGAATAAAATACGACCGATCCGCAACATTATTTCCAAGGACAAGCCATGTCCCGAAGCCAAAGGTGGCACGCACCGCAACGCTGCCGCGGGCGCACACACCCAGGGTGGGCTTGCAGCCTGGTATGCCTGATCCGAAGCAACAGCAATTGCATGCCAAAGACAGCCGTTGCAGCCGCAGCCTGGAAAAATCCCACAGTCAAAAGCCCATTGGGTTGCAAGCCTGATGTGTTTGCAGGACAAACTGGACCAGCAAGTTTGCGAGCAATGTGTGTGCATAAATGAGGCATCAAGTAAGCCGCCTGAACAAGACACCGACTGCAACAACTCAGCCACCGCCCCATGCCCATGCATGGGCGCAAGGCGGCGCTAGGTCTATGCCAGCAGCGCTTGGATGGTTGCCGATGCTTCAGGCTGCAGGGACGCGCAGTGCAGACAGCCTAGCACGCGGCGCTCGCGCTGGCACGGGTGACCGCAGATGTTTCGGTGCGGCCCTTCGCCAGCCAGGTCACCAGCTTGCATGGGAAGCATTCAGCGGCCCACAGTTTGAGACTGCGAGCTGGAAACGTCAGCAGTGTTGCCCACATTGTTGTTGCCGAGATGCACGTTCTGGTGGCTGTTCTCGATCTGGACAATGTGGGTGCCGGAACCGCCGGTCGGGTGGGGGTGGGGGTGAGGGTGCGTCGCCGGCGGCCCCACCAGCA